GTTGGGGCATTTGGATCTGATGTTGGAGCATTTGGGTCTGGTGTTGGGGCATTTGGATCTGATGTTGGAGCATTTGGGTCTGGTGTTGGGGCATTTGGATCTGATGTTGGAGCATTTGGGTCTGGTGTTGGGGCATTTGGATCTGATGTTGGAGCATTTGGATCTGATGTTGGGGCATTTGGGTCTGGTGTTGGGGCATTTGGGTCTGGTGTTGGAGCATTTGGGTCTGGTGTTGGAGCATTTGGATCTGGTGTTGGGGCATTTGGATCTGATGTTGGAGCATTTGGGTCAGGTGTTGGAGCATTTGGATCTGGTGTTGTAGCATTTGGATCTGGTGTTGGAGCATTTGGGTCAGGTGTTGTAGCATTTGGATCTGGTGTTGGTGCATTTGGGGTTGGTGCTATAAAATAAATAATAAACATCATTTTTTGCTCAAGAAATAAAATGAAGAAAATAAACCAATGATGATTACGATTATCTGGTGATGGTTGTGCTATAAATAAATAAATAAAATATCATTTTTTGTTCAAGAAATAAAAATGAAGAAAATAAAATGATGATTACGATTATCCGATGATGGTTTTGCTATAAAATAAATAAATAAAACATCATTTTTTGTTCAAGAAATAAAAATGAAGAAAATAAAATAAACAAATGGTAATTACGATTATCCGGTGGTGGTGATGGTGCTGTAAAATAAACAAATAAAATATCATTTTTTGTTCAAGAAGTAAAAAAGAAGAAAACAAACAAAGGATAATTACGATTGTCTGGTGATGGTTGTGCTGTAAAATAAATAAATAAAATATCATTTTTTGTTCAAGATGTAAAAATGAAGAAAATAAACAAATGACAATTACGATTATCTGGTGATGGTTGTGCTGTAAAATAGATAAAAAAAATATCATTTTTTGTTCAAGAAATAAAAATAAAACGAAGAAAATAAACAAATGATAATTACGATTATCTGGTGATGGTTGTGCTGTAAAATAAATAAAAAAAATATCATTTTTTGTTCAAGAAATAAAAATAAAACGAAGAAAATAAACAAATTAAATGATAATTACGATTATCCGGTGATGGTTTTGCTATAAAATATAAATAAAACATCATTTTTTGTTCAAGAAATAAAAATAAAACGAAGAAAATAAACAAATTAAATGATAATTACGATTATCCGGTGGTGCTGTAAAATATATAAATAAAATATCATTTTTTGTTCAAGAAATAAAAATAAAACGAAGAAAATAAACGATAATTACGATTATCCGGTGATGGTTTTGCTATAAAATATGTAAATAAAATATCATTTTTTGTTCAAGAAATAAAAATAAAACGAAGAAAATAAACGAATTAAAATAATTACGATTATCCGGTGGTGCTATAAAATATATAGTGATAAATAAAACATCATTTTTTGTTCAAGAAATAAAAATAAAACGAAGAAAATAAACGAATTAAAACAATAATTACGATTATCCGGTGGTGCTATAAAATATATAAATAAAATATCATTTTTTGTTCAAGAAATAAAAATAAAACGAAGAAAATAAACGAATTAAAATGATAATTACGAGTGTCTTGTCTTCTTTGTAAATGCTCGATATTAGTTGATTGAATCAGGCTTGTAAACTGAAGGATGAAAATATGACCTATCAGGAGTATCATAAGTGCTATCAATATTTTTGAGTTTGTTTTGTTCATTTTGGTTCTTTGATTAATAGATAATAATAGATAAAAAATCAATGAAAATAATATGCAACATATCGAAATGGAGAAAAAAAAAGGAAATTTGATTTTATCAGATGGTAATAGAATTGATCTGCGTAACACAAAGTAAAAAAATTAAGGGTAATGTGCAGGCAATTTTACATAAGTAATATAAAACAATTGATAAATTTTGTTTATACTTTTTGAAAAGTATTGTCACCTTTCTATTACTGTCTTCACTTTTTTCAAGTCAAGGGTAAACTTGTAACCAATTTGGATCAAAATCTTTCACATACTTTATTTAATTCTTGTCTGGTTATTTCCTTATTTTTTTACTTTTGTGTAGTTACTGTCTGTTTGGATCCTTCATTACTTTTTTCTTTATTTTCACAAATAACAAATTTATCCATTTTTGAATACTTTTCAAAAGCTTTAATGTGAA